AGTCAGGAAGCCCATAAACGCCAGTTGGAGAAGTGGTATGACGGTGAATCTTGCTCTTCTGACAGTAAAAAATTGCTTGGCCCGAGTGCAAATCTCCTTTCACATATTTGGCCAAACGTATCTTTGTGGCAGGAGTTTGGCAGTCGCTCGTATGCTCGGATGAGAAAGTGCGTGAAAGTTGTCAAATACGGAGCGTCTATACTTTCCAAGAATAAAAGGTCATGGGCGTCCTGTGGAAATGTCACAAACCTGGCAGTATCCTAGCCCTCGTGCAACCTTCGGGTGGCATGGCACTTAGGCACTGAACGATTTTTTTTACGAACGAACGATGTCACAAACGATGAAACTGTCAGAGTTGAGAAGCGGTAGTTTGACAGATTTGAGAAATGAAAGGCTGGAAAAATTTGGGAATCAGGGTTCCAACTGCTGAGCGGAGGCGATGGCTTGTAGGTCGAAGAGAGTCGTTGCTATGTGGTTTACCTCGATGCGGGAGATGTCTGCAACGACGTTTTCCGAACCTTCAATGTAACTTATGTCCGTAGTGAACTGCGAAATGAAATCTAAATGTCGGTTCTCTCTAGGTGAGTGTTTGTCTTGAGATGTTCTTAAGGCAAAAACGAGACGCTTATGGTCCGCATAGATGGTAAATTCCCTTCCTTCGAGTATGTATTGGAAATGTTTGACAGCTAAGTAGATCGCTAGGAGCTCTCTGCCAAAAATGCTGTAACGGGTTTTTTGCAGGTTCTAGTTTGCGAGAAAAGAAAGTGTTTGAGTGCTGTTGTTGACTACCTGTTGAAGGACCGCACCAACAGCGGTCTGTGATGCGTCCGTTTTTAGTATGAGGTGGCAATCAGAACTGGGGTTCAAATGACCCAGGGTGGTGGCTTTCGAAAGAGAGGTTGTAATAGCGTTAAAAGCAATGATAGATTGGTCAGTGAATTGCAAACATTTGTTGTTTGCTTTGAGCAGGTCGGTTAGCGGCGCGAGGATCTCTGAGCAGCGTGGAATGAATCTGCCGTAAAAGTTTACCATATTGAATTTTACGAACTCCACCTGTGTTTGTTTCATAGTCGTAATTGGGCAGTGAACAATATAGTGAATCAGACATGGGCAGACAGTACAGATAGGTAGACCATGTTTCTATAAGAAATTAACAGTAAATTCGCGAGGAGAATTAGAGTGTGACTCACGGCTAGATTGAACCTTGGGCAGTAAACAGCACAGTTTGGCACACAAAGGGCAGTGTATTATCGGACCAATTAAACGGGACAAATGTTGTTCAGTTTAAAGTGGGACAAACTTTCAACAACAAGCCCAGAAAGGAATGTGAACAAATCGTCTATACAAAAACGGTTGTTAGAGTCGACCTTGTATAAAATAGAACAGTTAAATCTTGAAACGTGAGCAGTCACTGAAAGGGTAATGAATTAGCCTGAGGAATAGGCAAACAAACAATTACGTCACGTAACTAACAGACATAATGTAGCTTAATAAAAGCGACAGCTCCGTCTTCCTCATCGAAAATTGTAACCATCCCACACTCAACTACAGTGGCAATCTTACCAACAAGGGACTCCTTTGTGGGCTTCAGGGTAATAATTGTTCATATCAAAGCATTGCAACTCATTTTCACTTCAGAAGTCATGTCGAATATATCTGAATAAATGAGCTAGACAATAGCGATCCAATTGTCTCATATAACGATAATGATCTAGCTATGACTGTAGTGTCACAGGTTCAGAAGACACTTCATCATTCGTCTCATCATCTCGTCGATCACGAAATTAGTTGGAAATGAAGAGACGGTGCTTTTGACGGACACCGCTTTGTGTAAGGAAGCTTTTGAAACTCCGTCTATCTCAATAACATTTCCATCTTTTCCGAACTTCCTGTCCACGACGATGCAAAAGGCTTGTAGCACTTGTGAACCGCTATTTTTCATGCTTAGTATCATCTTTTTTCTCCCTACCAATATCGGTCACACACCTTACAAAAGTTTGTTTTACTGAAATACAATTGCAACTACCCGCTTCTTGGGTACGACGTGAATTCGGAACTTTTGCTGAGTGACTGATGTTGTGACTGCCGGTTGGCTATAATTGGCTGATACCAACTTTGGACTGATCTATTCACGCCAGTGGATTAATAATGTGATCACCGGAGATTTGGAGTATCAGGAGGGTAGAACTTCTCTTCTAAGTATGATGGTTCAAAGGAATACGGAATCTCCTTTTGTGAACCGAGAGTCAAGATTTACTTGGATTTTTTTCCTTGTCACTTTTTGTCTAATCTACATTAGTAATTTGTTCTGTTCACTAGAGACTCCATTGGGCCGTCGACCACTACGGACTGCACGGTTGACAAATCTCGCTTCAACTGCATGCCCTCTCCCCAACGATACTACTTCCGTATGATAAACCTCATATTAAACCTTCTGCAATGAAGGAAGGGAAAGCTAAAGTGGAAGCACCTTTTGTCGGATGCCTGTGTTTCCGGCCCGAGCTTGCCTTGGTTGTTGCAAAATATCCACTGATAGAAGAGCAAAAACCGCCAACAGAGACTCGCCAAATACACGCGATACGGCCTATCTTTAAGCCGTAACAGCTCCACTTTGAGGTCGGATCGTCGTACAAACACGCAGCTCCACCAGATATTTATGATCTTATGTCTCTTCAAGTTTCAATCTAGCCACTGAAGATCCCTCATAATCACATGTGACCACACCAGTTCGCATCGATCGCATACCTACTATCTGCACCAGAATATCGTTTTTGAAATCGGGCAGTGTCGTCTCAGTGAACCAGTTAGAAATTGTAACAACATTTGGCTGTCGGTTATTTCGGGCGGCATTCTAACTCACATCGAAGTGCTTTCTAGCAGACCTTTTTGACACCCATTCCTATTTTGAATCCCCGGTGTAGAAACGGCTGTCTTATTGCCTCGCATGAATGCCAGAAACGAACCGCCGTGAACCATCGATGAAACTAAGAATATCTTAACTACGATAACAACCCTAAACGGCTCACCCAAGATGTTGATGTACGTGGCTGTCCAGGAACCCAAGTACGGCGTCAAGATGACGGTACAGAGACTACCGTACCCAGTCCGATAGCTTGCCCGTAGTTCACCAGATCTCTAATATTTCACAGACAAGCATGTCACATGCACCCACAAGACCATCTCAGTCCGTTAACTTCGTGTAAGGACTTGAGAGCAGTGGTCACATTATTCGTTTACATGTTTCGCCCACACCTAGTTCATTCAATGGCACTATTTGCGGCTATTTATATCAGTGAAGATCAAACCTCGCCCTGCGCCAGATATGACATGTGCTGAACACTACAGAAAACAAAAAAGGTTACTAGCTCTGCCAAATTCCTTGGCTTCGGCGGGGTGCTTGCCACAAAGACAGAAGAAAATTTTCACATCCAGGTCACGAATGACCACTCCATTTTGCGTTTGCGCAGAAGTAAAGGGCGCTATTATTGTCTACGTCGTTTTAAGATTATTTCCAAATCCGATAAAAAATAAAACGCGTGAAGAGACTGGCTTTTCCACACAATTTCCGACTTTTTTTACAGATGCAATGTGCGAGGTCCCCGGCAGCCAGTAAAATACGAATTCCACGCCCACAGTGAATTCGAAGTTCGTTCCAACAAATCCTAATAAAACTGCGACCCCAAGTGGAGGTTTTTGGGGACCGAATATACACCATGAAATACTAAAATGTTACGTTAAAGATTCCTCCATTCAAACTACGTTGTAATAGAAATTTTGGGTGTGTCCAAGGCTCGGAGCAGTATGCTGACTGCCCGAAAAACTGTCGTAGGGGCGGCTTGAAAATGGCCGCAGCACAGCCTTGGGTCTTTGCCGGTTTTTCTGGCAGTGGGCGAACCTCTTCGTGACACACTTTATTCTGGAGCAGCGTCACCGAACTCAAAGCGACTGTGACTTCGCTTCATTTATCTACAGGCCAGCCGCTAGAATATGCCTCAATACAACCTTCAAGTGAACTGCGTCTCTGGTTCCGAATAGCTGCGCACAACGATATCGTCTCTGTTTACTGCAACATTCTGTAATCCTTTCGTTAAACAAAGAATGAAACAGAGGATGAAACTAAACGTCATCCGTCCAAATAGATATTGGTGAATGCTGTTTTCTCCCGGTCCTCTGACCTAGGATCTAGTTGTCAGTATCCGGAACGCACATTAAACACAGTGAAATATCGGGAATACTGAATGGAATAAGACTTCTCTGCAGCCAAAGGGACACATACAATCCGATTTGCGGTCAGTTCATCGAGAAGCCAAAAGTACGGACAAAATTAGTATTACCTGTTCGGTTTACTTGCAAGCACAACCGAGAAGTTGTACGCACGTTTTACTTCCTCGGTTATTATTTTTTCCAACATAACTTAAACCAGCTTATGGACCTCCTCCCGTAAATGACGCGGTTAGGGGCCATGGGGTCAAAAGCATTCGGACGAGAGGGAAATTTCGTGTTTGATGTACGATAAGAAGACAAACGGATCTTCACCGCCAGTGAACAGTTTGGGGTGCTCCTCGACCGAGGACTGCAATGACATATTACTGGGCGGAAGCTTTTGGACACGAAGCTTGCAAACACCAGTCCTTGATAACCCTCGAACGTAACTGAATCGTACTTTGTCACCAGTTTTCTACGCCTTAGATCGGCCAAAAATTTTCAGATCTGCTCAGAAAATTGTTTGCTTCATATCTAGACTGATGAGGAGATCGTGCAGCACCGAACTCCTGCCAAGGGGCACTGATGTCATTAAACATCCATTAGTTTTCAGTTGGCACCCAACCACTGCACTGACGGCTAGAGTAAATATTCCGCTTTGCTCCCTCTCTGCCCCTATATCAATTGGACAAAGCTCCCTTTTCCATCCATCTTGATAATTACATGTATTGTAGTTTACATACATGCACTAATCACAACCTATCCGGGAAAAGAGAAGTAATTCAAAGAGCCATTATTTATAGGTGATCGGATACGACGACACGGATTATTCCAGTAGTCGAACATTTCACAGTTGTAGCATCGGTTTGTTGGAACACGTCTCCAGGACTCTGTCTTGATGGCTGAAAGCTGTTGGCTAGTTGATACACTGGTGGATCCCCTCGTTCTCCTGCAACTGCAACGTGGCCAATGGCGGCTCGGCCGATTCCCATGCCAAATTTGCCAGCTGTTCCACAGTCAACTGGCCAGTTGCTTTCGCAAACGGCCTCTGGGCACAAAGCATCGGCTGCACACCTTCGACGAACTGGTCAGACTGCGACTGCTAGTGCGACGCTTTGTCTAGTCACGGCAGTGCCCGATACAAAGACTGCTGCATGCTGACAAACTTCGCTTTGTGAGCACCGACAGAACCCAAGTTCAAAAGGAAGGCTGGACTTGTGGCTCAGCACCAAACGTAATATGCTACTGGGCTTTCTAGTCGTCACAGGCAGATTGGGTGTGGGTCGCCAGACATTCTGCACGGCATCATCCAGCGCTTACCTCTTGTTTTCATTAATGCGTACAGTCAGCTTTTCTTCACTGGGTGTATAAGCGAGATTCCGATCCTCACAAATCTTGACTATCTGTTGGGGTCTTTTTACTGACTCGTCTATCTTCAGATCAGCGCACACGTTCGATTTGAACGAATTTAGTTGCAAGATTGCATACGACTGGGAACCTACCCAGTCGATGAAAAGCTCTCGCCAACCGGTATCTGTCTGTTGTTTGTACGTCGGCGGAAAAGTTGGTCCGTCTATATCAGCTTAGTGGCCGAGGCAGTCAGCTTTCAACTACACACTGCAAATAGAGATGCATCCCTTCGTAGCTTAAACGAAACCGCTCAAATTTGGCGCCAAGTCGAGGCAGTTTTGATTATTCGCGGAACGACCGAGTGATAGACCCTCAACCGATATTGTGCTGTTCTATCTTAATCCAACACAGCTAAGCGTTTCATGAGGAGCACCCTTTTTTCGACTTCATTCGCACAGGAATCGGTGAGAATATACCCAAATGTTGGGGGGGGGGAAGTTTCACTCAAAATGAAGAATTTAATTTGGACTCTATGCCTGATTACGCATGGCCCAGATAGGATATCTTTGAATGCTGATTCATCGACAGTGGATTCAGCTGCTCAGAACTAATGAACACAAATGACATGGTTTCGCAAACAAGGGGTTGTTTGACTGGATAATGAATGATGAAACAAAAATGATTTGCACTTTGGACTGACGACGCGGATGTCGTATATTATTCACCAACGCCATCAACCGCGATTTAATTGTACAAAGCTAATAAACAGATAATGAAAATGAATAGTAGCAAACAGACAATAGAAAATGTCACTATGAGCTGCATGCTCTCGACACTCAAGCATTCATCACAGGGAGCTCAGCTTCTCAGTTTTTTTCGGCACACTACAACTAAAAACAAGAGTCGAGCTGTTGGATGGACGCCGAAACATAAATGTTGTAGTTTGTTAGGCATGAGCATCACACGCTGGGCTCAGTGCTCTTACTTCCTCTAGAGTCACCTTTTTTACTGCATCACACAGTCGAAGATTAGCTGGTCTGTAAGGACTGGCCTCTAGGAGACTTTATGCCCTGTGCTCGTATCCAAAATATGGAAGTGACACTTGTGCATGTTATTATTTCATCTGTTATTTCGTATGGTTATCAACCTTAACTTTTATTTTGGCCAGCAGAATCCTGACAAACGGACATCTAGGACAGGCATTCGTCGATCATTATTTATCAGACGAAAAAAGTCGCATTGACCAGGTAATCCAATCGCGTCATAAGTGTACTATGGACAACGAAGCGTGAGAAAGCAAAGTGTGGTCCAAAACACCGGTCGGCTTGGAGGCTGAGTCCACACAGTGATTGAAATACATGTTGTAGCACTACAAAGGCACTTTCAGAACCTGACAAAAAGTTCAACTTGTATGAAAATATCATTCCAAGAAATGCCCAAAGGCCCTGTTGGAAACAAATGTGTAAATGGTATGAAAACGGCTCAATTTTGCGAAGATGGTAGCTAAGTTACAGGGTATATGACCTAAACTTGTAAGGTTTTAAATGTTGAATTAGTTGAGAAATGTGAACACAGGCCAAAAAACAAACGACATTATGGAACAGGGCAGTGCTATAAGTTCTATATCTAAAAGGCCTCCTTAAATCAGCCCCTCGATGGACTAGACCGAGTGCCAGCGTACGATAGTGAGAAACCTCACGTCATTTGCCGCCACCCGTCTAATATGGCCGATTTAACTTCATTACTATCCTGTCCGATTCTACTCTGCCGTGTTCCCACTGGACAGTAAAACCACAAAGCTCCTACACTGAGTAAGCAAACATCCTTGCTGAGATAACTGTGGAGATTCACAACTGATTGGAGGGGTCAGATACATAGCATGCATGCAACACGTTCCCAAGACTCTGTGAAACATAGCTGAAGAAATAATTTTTCGACTGGCCAAGCAACAACGACTTTTTCGTCTATGTCGAAAATGGCGGACTGTCGGTCATCAGAATGAAAATCCGTCCGTAACCGACTTGGTTACTACGAAAATAATGCATCACATCGTTTCTGTGAACTAAATGTTCGCCGAGTTGTGCACCGCGATACCCCGGATGGTAGACTGCTATGCTTTTCCAGATTGCCTCTCCCAGTGGCACTGCATCGGTAAGCACTCACGCACAATAGATGATGCCAAATGCGGTCTGTGCTGAATCGCTTCTGCATCCACTGAACCACAGAGAGAATAAGACCGGAGGTTGAATTACTCCACTGGTTTTGTCTATAAATAACCATCTCAGATGGAGAACTCAAGGGAACCACACGTTTATCAATTCACAAGGACTGGTCTTTGATCAGTTCCGCGTCTGACTTTTTTGTAGGATTTTAAGTCACCTGATCGTAAAATAAACCACGTGACGATCGCTGGGATAATTTCTTGTTTATCTGTGAGTCACCACTGCCTAGACAGTCAGCAAACCATAATGTTTAGTTCGTGGCTTGCGGTATCCAACCTCTCAAGCATTTGTATGTGCAGATCAGTGGGCGCTGGTATTTGAGCACCAAACGTGGCCACTCGTGATCGTCAGTTCGCATAAAACCGTTAAAAACATCCTCCGATTATGCTTGCTCAGAAGTGCAACAGCTATGCACCAAAACACAGTACTTCAGTACCTGAGAAACTGCAGGCTGGTGGTCAAACTAAGAACATATGTTATTCAGTATGCCCTAAGAAAATTCGAATAACTGGATGGATGAAGAAAGATCAACTTTCAAAAGTTGTACAGCTGATCCCGATATAATGACGTTGGTAATTAACCGTTTTTGATTGAACTGGGTTGTGGTCTTCTCAGCAGGATCCACGTATTTTCTTAGTACTATCAGTTCACGGTGAGCAGCTCTATACGGAGCTTCTAAAATAATCAACTATTAACAGTCCGAAATAACAGTACCCAAGAAAAATAAGCTTTTCTATAGAATGACTCCGAATACCACTATCAAAAGAAAAAAGAATCCTAAATCTACGATAGTTGTCACTTCTTTGTCGAATACGAACAGACCGGATGACCGATATTCGATTATTTCAGTACGTCTTTTCTGGCAGATTCAGTTCACAGGATTAAACCCAATGAGCTCGATAAGTATCTCCTTTGTCTTTTAACCGATGACTAATTGTGCGTCCTATTGTGTGAACATGACTTTAGACAACCAACAGTTGCTCGATTCCATGGTAAACGACGATCTCTTGTAAAACTATAAAAGTTTACTGTGTTACAGCATTGCAGTCATTAGATAGCTTTTAATTTTAAGCTGATTTGGTCTTGCGGTTGTCCATATCACTCAAGATGGACTTCTTAGCCACTAAATGTGCCGTTTTTTTATTGTAACGACATCTGGAATAGTCTTACTGTCTCTAAACTGAAGAGAACTCCTCTGAACAATCTACTGCTACCTCAAGATCTCGTAGCGGACCTCATTGGAAGTAATGGATGCCTATTTTATTGCAAATGAGATCGACCAAAGCCGATGTCATTAAAAAAACTCGAGCAAATGCCAGTCATGCATTTATTCACAGACAAATAAAGTGATTTCTCTTTGATTAACGGTCTTTCATTGAATTTTACCTCACCACTCCCCAGAATATGAAACCTCTCAGAATCGTCTGCTTCATTTTTGCCTGGGGTGCTGCATTTGGGAAAGCCTACGAAAATTACATAAATACTCCACCTTGGAATGAGTTTTAATAGTTAGCCAAACAGGTAAACACTGCTTTTCTGATACCACACAACAGCTCTTCATTGGTTGCCGCTAGCAAATTCAGTCTAGATGACTTTATTCCATCTATTTACATTGCTAATGGTTAGCACAACCGATAATGGCAGGCATCTCAAGCCTGATGTACCTGAAATACTCCTTGTTAAAAGAGAGAATGCACATGGATATATCTGTATGAATGTCTGAACGAATGATCAGTTATGTTTAGCAGCTGAGTAAGGAGTCCTTTAACGATACACAGAGTCATTCTTCGACATCTGACAGGGCCAAACCATCCGAATTTTAAATGTTTCGTCTAATGTTCACGATGACATCCGAGACACAGTAACAAGGTTACACTAAGCTCACTCAGTCCGTCAAACAAATTTCAACCAACAAGTGGCTGACAAGGAGCAATTCTTGATGAAGCTACCCTCGACCTGCGATCAGTCGGCATATATCCTATCCAAAAGTGTTGGTCCGCCTTGCGACGCAAACTTACTAAAGCGTGACTCACAGTAATATCCGCTACTCAGAGTCAGAGATGAGCGTCTCATGCTGACCAAGTTGAAGATCACTTGGTTTTTCTCCTGGACCGCCTGGATTACAAGCAAAGGCGAATATCAAAGCGTATCCGATCGATTTATCCAGAACCACTTGCTACAGATCTCCTGCATACCAGGGAGCTCCAACTCACCCACTTGGCTGATACTGGACGCACGAACCCGAAACATGCACACAACAGCTGGGGCCATGAGTAAATGCTTATTCAAACACGCATTATGCAGTCCGAAAAAAAAACATGCGCAGACTATTACTGCCTTCGCTCCAAACACCTCAAGTATAGATTAATGGATGAACAGGACAACTAAGACTGACGCGACAATAGCAGACAAACAATCCCCCATTTTCTGTGATTCATCGCATGGAGTCTCTTTATTCTAGTACTTTGTATAGATGAGTCCCAAAAAGTTAATAATGTGTATAAAACACTCGTCTTCTCACATCTGACAGTCGTGGGAGCCAGTTAATTAATTAGTCGGAAACGCACCACTAAACCCATCATGAGAAAAATTTCAGACCAAACGATCTACGGCCTCTGCAGAATTCATCTATCTCGATCCTCGTAGCTGAAATAAAACTGCTGTGAACATACTGTTTCTTATCATTCATTAATTCTCCGAGAAATCAACGACCCTCTTACCTATAAGTGCCTACAGTTGGAAAGACCTTATTGTTTTTGGTGGGTAAACTGCAGTCAGGGAAATAGGAAAGTGAAAACGCCCAAGCCAAACTGGTTACCATGAATTTGTCATGTAAATATAATATTTTAAGAACTTTTCATAACCAAGACTCCTAGAAAGCTCGCTAATTTCATCTTGTGAGTTTCCTTATAAGTACACATCCAAGAGAAGAGACACCGTAGTATGTATTCTTGACGACGTGTAGGTTCAGAAATCCGGACGTCTAATATTCGAGACAAGTATATAACCCTCATGGGACCACAGAAATTGCCCGGATATGAATAGTCACATCTTCATATGCGAACATGTTTGCCCTTCGAGGGATTCGACCTGGTTGCCAGACGTCTCGAAGGGGGATCCGGTTAATGACCCGGATGTGTCCATCGATAGTGTGGGACTTCACATCTAAATAACAACCCGGACACTTGAAACATGTCCGAAAATAATGTATGTCCACCTGTAAGTTGTTGCAAGAACTATGGAATAAGAATCTACCGAAAATTATTCGAAGGTCTGGGTGAGGCAAGTTAGACTTGTTCAGTCAAAATGGTTGACAGCGGGCATTAGCATATATATATATATATATATATCTGGATTTGGTAGTAAAAGCATGGAAATTATGATACCACTTTCTAAACATAGTAGGGCGATGAACAAGCTCGCGTTTCGAACGCCGAAAGACCGGTCAGTGAATGTCACCGATGTGTTAACCGAAACACGTCAGAAAATGTAGCATGACGGGCCCTTCAAAAGTGCGGGACAAATGTACTTGATTAATTTTGGGCAGCTGTGTTATTATCTATACTATCTTCGCACTCTTTAATTATTTTGGAGAATAAATCTGTTGGACCACACAAGGTCGTAGGACATGTGAACCATGGCCCCACGACGTTAGTATGGATTCGAAATACGGTAGCGCCAGGCATGTGAAACATCGCACTTGTGGACATGTCCGTCCGTCCAATTATAGCAGTTCCGGTATTCATAGCATGCGCTATTCTATTACTAGTGTGACAGTTTAAACCCCAGAAAGACAGAAGACAGGCAGTACTAATGAACTAACGGAACTAGAGTACAGGTCCTTGTATTTTGGCCCGGGCGGAGCAGAAAAACATCACAAGGACAAGATGGCGCTTTCAGTACAAGTGAACGTCGCTGTAATGTTTTGAAAGAAACGAACACCAACCACCCTGTCAGAGGGGATCCATCATCATCCCTATGGCGTGGCAACAATGGAGGGGCAGAAATAAAAAAATGTTCAACGCCTTGATATTTTTCATTCCATAATTTCGATTCGTTCCAGTCCAGACCGCACCGACCACCTTTAGTACCGAAATTGGTTTTGTTGTTGTGCGCGTCGTTCACAACCTAGCTGGGGCTATTTGCTATCTACACCTCGTCCATTGGTAACTGCAACATGACAAGTGCGCGGGATGTCACAACGTAGTATCGTACCTGATAGGAAGACTCATCTATGCACTAATAACCGTAGTATGCCATTCTAATACCTACAGATTTTAACGAAGGCCGTCGAATGCGCAGGGTGGTTAAAGCTAGCAGTTTCAATGCTGTGCCATGAATAGTCCGGTCGACAACCTCTGGCGTTTATCGGATAGTCAGTCTGCCACTGCCTTCACATCATATCTACATGACAACGGCAATCACAAGATCATTGCTAACTCTATGCGGAGGACTGTGATTCTCAAGTCATTGAATCAAACCTCGATAAAATCACACGGACCTATCCGTCTAAAACGAGAAGGATAACTCAGGAAAGTGCTATCGAACACAGAATGGAAAGTAACACCGGCTTGCTTGAGTGCGATGCGGCAATACAGTTGACAAATGGCGGCATATCTGACCGGAGCATCACCCTACTCAAAGTATTATCCAGAAGATTCTCACCCTTTCACCCAGTAATCACCTGAGCAGGTGCAATGCGGCACAGAACCAATGGCGAGACAGGCAACACACTGGTCTAAGTATGCCTAACGTATTAGGGACGAGGCTGCTGTGTGTAAATATACGAACGGCATGTTTCACCACAAGTATCTCCTTACCATTGCCTGAGTCAGGTGAGAGGATCGGGTTCTTTACGGTGATGGCTAAAAGAGCTTTTGGAGATGGCGGCTTATGAATGATAGTTCGACTAATCACACGATGGGTCGCTGAAAATTTCGTGAGCCAGTGTGTGAATCTCGGGGCTGGAACTTGTACACAAAACTGTTCTTTACAAAACGTACACTAACACAGTAGTCTCCCCTACGAAGATACTAGATTTTGCCGTAGTAGTTGGTCATTTATGTATCTCTGTGACCCATTGAGCTACACTGGAGATATCCGTGCGACACTTGCAGGGTTTCGAATGTAAAGGTGGTCAGTGGTTAGAGATCTGACCAACATAGCTTCCTGGTGCCCTATGTTGGGGGTAGCAAATTGTTTTCTTAAAAAAGTGTGATGAACTAGCATTTCCCACCAAACACCACTGACTTCCGGCCAAAATTTCGAACCAAAGGTTTTCGTTTAGGTCCCTACCTGTATTTTCGTTTTGGGGCCGTGGCAGTATCCAGCCCCAGTTTTTCAACAATTAAAAATGCTGTCATGCCACATGTATGGCAGTGAAACACCAGTGGTCAACATAGATGCTGTGCTGGCGAGTGTGTAGTGGTGTAATAGTCTGCTGTTGAACACGGTTCTGAAGTGTAGCTTCTGGAACACCAAGTGCCTCAGGTCGAGCACAAAATAGGTAAGTAGATTATGGGTGTCAATACTGAAGTTGTCTACAATGAAAGTTAAAGACAAGAAAGTGTTGGTGTTCCTAGCAGGAAACTCAACTACGTAAGTAACCCTATCCCCCGGGACAGAACTCCGCGAAAAAGCAAACCAGTGACTGCTTACTGACAGTCAGCACTCACTCATGTAGTCATTCATGGTCCTCCAACAAAGCTATCACATTTGGCGCAGAAATAGCCTACCTCTAATATCTTTCACCCAAGTACCGAAAACAATTAACGGGTAAGCAATATGCAACTAAAAAGCTGTTCAATAAAAAAAACCGACCACGCTCAACGTTTCCATCCATCTGGTTCTCAAAGCCATTTCATTTTACCCATCTTCGTATCGGTGACGAGCACAGTGAAATTCGAGTCTTCTACTCTTGGTACGCTGAGATTCCACAGGTAAACTGAAATGTACCTATATGGTAAATGCTTAATTTTACTATATACAACGCAGCAATTTCACGTGGATCGAAATCGGTGAACTGACGTCTCCTCAGTACTGAAAAGTGATAGGCTGTGTGTGTCGAAAGACAGCGCCGAAGATTGTTCACTCCTTTGAGTAAATCCCGGTGTTCGGTGCCACTTTGAATGCTGTAATGAAATCCTTAAAACGAGAAACCGATGCCGGAGAGCTACCTTTCAACTGTGAAAAGTGTAAACATTGTCCTCACATCTATTGTTCGTGCTTTCCTCTTGTATATGCTGTTTCTGAAGCTAAAAACATCCGATGGTCAGAACTTACGCTATCAAGCAGTACTTCGTGCATACTACTTCGCTACCTAGTGACCAGGGACTGCATTCTGTACATTGATTACGACAAGAACGCCCTTGACCTGAACTTTCTCGACTTCTCTGTTGACTGAATAGTAGCACACAAAAAACAGTATTCGATCGTATCAATTATCAAACAGCTGTAATCGGTATGGGAACTGACGCGACCAAATCGGAAACATGTCAATCGACGTAACAATAGAATTTCCACCGGGGTATCCTCATCGAAACGATTGACACCACAAATACTCTTCCTTTCAATCCACCTAATGGTCAGATCGAAGACAAAGTCACGATCCATATAACCGACGAAGTTTGAGGAATGCACTGTGATGCACAATGAGAATCAGTCTTCGAACCAAGGCTAGGGTCTAGCAAGTTGCTATCTGTCCCCACTTAATTCACGGTCCTTGAGTGTCAGAGGATTATTCTTAACCTGAGAAGTAACCGATCGCCCAAGCATAACGTTCACCAACGTTGTTGGGGAATAACACAAGCATGCGTGAAGGAAGTGTAGCCGTTATCTCTACACGGGAATAACACAACTCAGTAGGGCAGGCTATACGGGTTCAGGTTGCACTTCGCAGAAAAGGAAAAATGACTTCCAAGGAAAACTTGCCATCTAATTCCCTGTCTGATGAAGATGGATTTGGACTCCAAACAGAGCATAGTTTTCGTCACCAGAAATACATATGAGGTGCACTGAGCACGGACTTGCTTGAAATAACTCGGTGGTCAAGGTGCGAACTTACCGACTGGAACATTCGTCGTTCAAACCCAGTCTCTGCACCTTGACTGCTCCTGTCTAGGATTGATCGACCTGACAATATCTCAGCCCTCGTGCTTTGTTCGGGTACAAAGACAGCTACGCACAGAAAGTTAAGTTAAGCTTGCCGTCGATCGTCGCGTGTGGAGGTACAATCTGCCGCTTGCATGGAGCAGGCGTGTCTTATTAGAGCAGTTAAATCAAATGAAAGTTAGAAAGATACCAACTCTCCCGGAGAGCAAGAACATACGAATAGTCCGCCCGTTGAGCAACACACGTGGGTGTGAAAGCCACTGGTGGTCAACAGTCCTTTTCTGCCGTTCGACTGTTGCATAAAGACGAACTAATCAAGCAAGTTTTTTAATGAACTCTTCTTCAACGAAAAGCACGTCGATTAACAAATTTCCAATCAAGGATAATCAAAAATAATCCGTAAATGAGTAATTTAGTGACGGATGGATAGGAGTTTGTGAGAAATCTCAAACACAACGAAAAGCAATGGTTGACGATAAAGACACACCATCTGATACTTATAGAACAGGTTTCAACGCACAGACATGTCAAAAGTCTACAAAAAATCGTCGTGCTCACCATTCAATATTTGTAAGGCTTCAAAGGCCTCTGGTTCCCAAGGTTTTATACCTTGACACAGAAGTTGGAATTCTTCTTCTTTGGTAAAACCATACACCCCAATTTCAGAATCGTCCGAGTCCGTGAGGTCCAGAACATCGTGGAACCGCGTTGAAGGTGGATGAGTGAATAAACCACGACCACGGCTGACTCGAGGAGCGCGTCCTGGATTCCGGTGGCTTCGACTGGGCCGACGACCTCCACGGGTATTGTAAGGAACCGTGGGCCTGGAATCACCGCGTAACAAACCCGGTGGTTCTCGCAATAAAGTGTCTGGATTGTCAGCGACAGTCTCTGTTGGCGGTTCATGGACACGCCGCGTGTTCCGATGCTGCCGTCTTTGCGAATGAGCGAAATGTGATTGAGCACTTCTAGATTCGGCTGGATGGTCTGAAGAATGTTGCTTAGGCACTGAGTCACGTTCCTCTTGTTTCACTGAATTTGTAACATTGACGTCATATGAAGTGGGGTAGCTTGAGGTTGCCGTTTCGGGTTTTTCTGCAACTGATTTTCTTTGGTGGGAGGTACTCTCGGCTTTGCTTGCACTCAGGCGGCGAGGCAAGGTGACCGTTTCATCTTCTTTACGCGTTTGCCTTCTTCTATGCGTGTGGTTAGTCTTCCGACGAATAGTTGAATCTTGAACACCGTATGCTTCCAAGTTAAGCGATGAAACTAAATTGGAATCGAATTCAGACTTCACAGACGTAATCAGTTCGGTATTCAGCTGCTCGAGTTGCTGAAGCATTAGTTCGTGTTGTTCTTGCCACTGGTTGTTGTGAAGTGAAAGCCATTCGACGGACGCGGCAGTATTCAATGTATACATCGCATTCGTGCGTTCTGTGGTATAACAAGGAAGCAAGAACTAGAGAAAGGACGATATATGGGGTAATATAACGACTTATTTTGTGTATTAACATTTCAGTAAGATCGAGATAGCTCAGTAGTTAAGGCACCAGCACCTCGACTGCTCCTTTTTGGGCTAGGGCATCATCATGAGAAACAGCAACATCAGTGTTGGAACTGATGCTTCATTGCTTCACAACCGTAAAGTTCGTCTGATTATACTCAAAGCGTTAGAGTGAAAAGAAGAGAAAAAGAATGGGTGAGGGAGGGAACTTAGTACTGGACTAAGTTAAGCATTCAGAGTTGCCGAGCGCTAAATCAGGCAATCTGGGAAGAACCTGACACCACGTAGGCCACTGAAATCGGTCAGTCGCCATTTCTTGAAATGTCTCCAGTCAAGCACAAGCGGAGTCATGGGGACCCCATCCTGGAAGGCGTACAACACCAACAACATCCAAATTCTTCGTAATCTCTTTCACATACTTCTGCCAAGTCATACATAGCCCAACTTGTAGTTTCAGCCAGTGCGAAGGAGGAATGGAGAACAACAATAGTCTCGGTAGACGGTGTTTCGGCATGTGTAGCACGTGACCGAGCCACCACTATTGATGGTGCTGGATGAAATCCACGATTGAGGTACCTGCTATACAATCAAATACCCATTTTCTAGTTACTTGGCTACTAGTCAGTTGAATCCATACAACACCAGCAACGTACGTGAGGCATCCGTGGTAAGCAACTCGAAGATACTTCTCATTATGTCCGCAGAGGCCAAGCCTCACAGTCATACAACAAAGCCCTTGCTGTAACCTGGTACACGCAGCCCTTGATGCCCGGTGATACGCCTTTTTGACGCCACAAATGACACAAATCAGCGAACGTGATTCGGATCTTTGAGATCCGTACAGAGGGAATCCAGCATACGCACAAGAGCCACCTGTTGATCTGCTTGCTTCAGTGTGCGAACATTCAAGGTGGCTAAGTAGACAGGCCTTCGGGGTTTGAAAACAGACTTCGAAGTGTTTAGGGTTGTAACTGAACTCGGATGTGCAGAAGCTGCAGCTGAGTGTGATGCAGGGCGAGCGAAACAGTCAGTCCTAGAGAAAGTATTCGAATTTGGGTGGGGGAGGGTGAAAGAAGGAAAACATGAGAGTGTAAGAAAGGGGCGTCAGCAGTAGCATGTTTTCGCTTACCCGCCCTGCTGTATGCAGCGAGTAAGGCGACCCGGCTGATAACACCACGCGACGGCCAATGTGGCATGAGAATATTGTTAGTTGTGTATGTCATAGTTGTACGAAGGCCGGGATACTGCCAGGGTGCCCACACCTAGACAGGAGGACCATTAGGGTTCTCAACCAAAGCCTTTGGCTCAAAAGCCTAACCGCAAGGAAGCGGTATTCGACCGGAAATGCAAGTACAGTAACATCTTTTACGGAACACGTAGCCACACATGTTCCAACCCCCAACCTGGAGGGTCAGGAGACTGTGTTCGTCGGACCTCTACCCATGGACCAACCTAATGGAAGACTCTGTGAGCATCGTGCGGACACTCCCCAGTATAGCTCAATGGGTCGCCGAGGTACACAAACCGCCACACCACGGTAAGGTCCAGTCTCTTCGTGACGGAAAGGGGATTGGCGTGCCGCCGTAAGATGAAGAATCAATGATGCCAGAACCCTTGTTACAACTCGAATCAAAATAACACCTGTGGGGTTATCACATTCAATGTGGGTACCGTTTTTTAAAAGGACACTACTATAATTTTATCCCAATAGTCTGGGACGGTCTCTATCTCGCAGACAGACCTAAATAGGCTAAGCAGCCACTGGCCAGTAAACCAGCCGCCATCCTTGGACAAAACAAGCGTTAGGTCGTTAGGATCTGCAACATAATGACGTCTGAATAGATATATACACTCGGACATTTCTGAGGTTGAAAGCGACTCCATATTCTCTGTTGAAACCCAGGATTGTGAATTGGGGGGGGGGGACAGGTACAAAACTGAATCGCTATACGGAGAATTGTGCCCAGAGGTCCAAAAGTTCTGCTTTGCTGGATATCAAGAGCTATTCTGAGCCGTGATCATTCCGCTAACAAGAAGCTTCCGAAGACCAGTGGAACCAATCAAGTGGGACAGGTTGTAGACGTTCTCAGAATTTTCGCATCTTCTATTTCTTCGGCCTTTCGGGTCCACCAAGCTTCTCTGCAAGTACTTTCTGAGGTTGAAAGCGACTCCATATTCTCTGTTGAAACCCAGGATTGTGAATTGGGGGGGGGGAACAGGTACAAAACTGAATCGCTATACGGAGAATTGTGCCCAGAGGTCCAAAAGTTCTGCTTTGCTGGATATCAAGAGCTATTCTGAGCCGTGATCATTCCGCTAACAAGAAGCTTCCGAAGACCAGTGGAACCAATCAAGTGGGACAGGTTGTAGACGTTCTCAGAATTTTCGCATCTTCTATTTCTTCGGCCTTTCGGGTCCACCAAGCTTCTCGATCTGCAAGTACGCTCGGTTTCACCTGGCGTCGGATGATGCGGTGGGTGCAGCTGTGGTTGCGGCAAGGAGGAATTTGTCACCTGTCCTCAGAAAAGCAAACATCCTATGGGAAATCTAATGTTTGGGTGAGGTTGCCTAGTTCGTACTGCGGACAGAAGTTCCGGTTTCGTGTACCGCTTTAGATATTTTTTCACAGTTACCGTTTACATCCGACACCGGACAGTCCAGCAGGCGTTCGAGGAGCCGGTTCTGATATTTTCGTCTGACTTCTGGATTCACTAGCTTCTCAATGGCTGAGCGAGGTGTGAGCGTTTTGTGTAAACCTGAAAAGCCAATCAAAAAAGCAGCAGCATGCGAATGCATGATCGGAGTCCAAGCTGGTATTTCAGGAGCATCATCATCAATGACAGCAACATCAGTGTTGGCACTGATGCTTCACTGCCGTACAAACATAAAGTTCGTTTAGTTATATATATATATATATATATATTTCAGGAGTGGCAAGCAGTGATCGACCTGCGCCACCGACAAATGACGGCGATGTGGTCTACTTGGATTCCGAGCTGTTTCGTTGGTGGACACTACGACTTCCAGTTCCGAAAATTGGTACTAAAAGGAACACACGGTGATCGGTACACATCTGAAGAAGGCGATCTCGCCTCTAATCCAAGACGACCACCCAATCGGGCCTTATCAACGCTTAGCCTACCTACCTGGGCGTTCACGTCACGAGCAACCACAACGATAGTTGCGCTTTCAGCCAGTTATAAATTAGCACATGGAGCGTCATATAAGCTGCCTTTGGAAGATTCAGAGCCACAGTCAGCTGGGGCGTAAGCAGACACAAGAAACACTTTGCGAGATTCTCTCAGACGTTGCCAAACCAAACACGCAGAGGCGACTACCGACCAGGTATGCAATCGAGCAGAGACGCTTCCTCTCGGTAGCCCAATGAAAAACCCACCCAGGCATATCCTGCTGCAGCCGCCTCTGCATCGCCAGAGGCGCCGCACATGTCCTAAACCCCATTCTGGAGGACCAGGAGACTGCGTGGGTCCGATATAGCTAGCCATTGGCCAACCTGGTATGAGACTCTGTCAGTGTCGCACGGACACCACCCAGCATAGCTCAGTGGAGCCCGGAGGTACGCGAACCATCACGCCACGGTAAGATCCAGCCTCTTCGTGCCTTCTTCCGTTGGCATGGCATCTAGGCACAATTTGACTTTTTGTTTACCTGTCAGTGAGGTCCGTCGAAAATCAAATGTTCTTTGCTGACCGGTTTTTATTCGAATAAAACGTGAATTTTTTAAGGCTGTTGTCACCAGTCCTTTCGCCATCGACATCGACGGAAGGTGAGCGTGCTTTTTATTGTACATGACATGCCCTAGAGCGAAACCCGAGTCCAGGGCTTAGTCCTTTGGTGTGGACTGAACAGAATGATTACGCCAAAATAGAACGATTGTTCAAAACGATGGGGACGAGCATGGATTACAGATTGGCCGCACGACCACACATCCGTTGTAACCTACGATGGAGAAGACATTCATTGCAGGCAACAGTCGCACTCTATCTCAGCTGATTCGACCAAATGGCCAAAAGAAGGCAAGCGTCAGTAATGCAATCTACGAAAAAAGGCGGAACGGTATTTCGTTCGTAAAATCGTCGTCTTGAGCAGCGAGCAGTTCAGCTGGCCTCCTTCAACACCATCTCAAAAAGGAACCAACGGAACGGAACGAAACGTCGACATCCCCGCTGTCAACTACAAAATCCAGCGTGATATAATTTCTCCCGGCCTGGATGGTCTTCACGCCGAATTNAAAGCCTCGATCCTGTGTATCAATCCGTGAATCCGTGCTGTAGCTCAACCCGACCTCTGATTGGTCAAAAAGGAATAGCCAATGCCATTCCAGTATTGCCGGTGGCCAGTTGAGTCTTTGGTTTGCCGCGGCGCTTTCGGCGTTTTGGAGTATTGTAGCGTATGGTGTCTGTCATTTTGATTGATTCATATGTAAGTATTGGTGATGTACAACCTTGCTTACTGGGCTTTGGCTCATGAGCTTTATTTCTGTTTTCCTTCCGCATAAATCGTCGTGAACACCTGCCTTCGGAGAATCACTGCCCCCTGGCGCTTCCATGGCGTGCATATTACGGTATTCATACCGTGGAAGCGACGTGGCCGCCGGTCATCCAAAACAAGGGGTGCACGACTATTTATGCGGATGGAGCTGAAGCAAGGTTGTGCACCACCAGTACATTTGTGTGAAGCAATGGACATGACAGGAAAAATGTACACAATGTATGCAAATGTGAAGACCCACCGTTGACGCCGTGAATTCTGGGTCACTGATAGCGGTAAACGGTTGGCGCTGGTGTGTCTCCTCACGGGTGTCCCAAGTTTTGGATCCCTTCAGTGTCGAGGATTTGATAAATTTGGACGTTTTGGCGGGGATTGTCGCTGGATAGTTCCTGAAAATCGGAAAT